CAGCAGTGTAGAGGATGTTCTTTACATCCTGTCCCATCCATACTGGCCCCAGTGCCACAGCTTGGGCTATCAGGGTATCAACACGAATGAAGGAACAAGGGCGAGGAACGGAGCTTTCACAGATGTCTACAGAGAGACAGAAAAAAATGTAGAGTTGTAGGGTACTGTCTGTAGAAGAACTTGCAGTTGTTTAGATGAGAAAAAATGTAGATTGAGATACAGAAATCTCATTCACTGAGGACTGCTGCATTTCAATCTGTCACTGTAGAGCAGCTTGGCTACTAGAAATTCAGAGAGCAGCCAAAGTGATGGACAACTGGAAGCAAGGCTTTCTTGGAAGCAGAGAAATGAGTGGTGAAAGCAAAGTCTGTATGATGGAATGGCTGTCCTGTTTGGTGTATGCTCTCAGAAGAGGGGAAATTGAATTTTTAAAGCACCTAGACTAGTAAACCTGAGTATTGAAGTCCTTCCTCAGAGACATCTTAGGCAGCACATTTCCCCCCAGGAAGTCCTATTAACCCTCTGTTACGGTCTGGCCAGGCCAAAAGTAAGACATTGGAAACAAACTCCTCCCTGTAGGCTAGCAGCACAAGTCCTCAGAAACCAGAGGCAAGCACTGCACAAACAGTTCTGATCCCATACCTTTGAACTAAAACACACCAGCATTTGTGAAGGGTGACAAGGGTGCAAAGCAGAGCATTGAGAGCCAGCTCTGCTAGGAAAGACTGAGGGCTCTGGCTGTGAACAGGAACCTCTCCCCATTCACTTGAAAGAGGCAGATGAGCTCTAAAACTGCAAGCAAATACACTCCTCAGTTCTGAAACTCTCACACACAATTGTTTGGTTTCCCTGATAAGGATAGCCAAGTAGAAGAACAAAGAGTAGTTATCAGCAACTCAGCCCAAGGCTGTATACTTATTCAACCCACAGTGCTGTTGCAAGTTTTCAGTCTGTTCTGCACAATAAAGCCAGGCACTCCTACCACATGCTGTCATGCGACAGGCTCTTTGGTGGGGCTTCCCCTCCTGCAATATGATAAGAACAGCTCTTATGTCAGAGGGAGAAGAGCAAGAACAGCAAGATTCAAATGCCAGCAGGCTGATCAACATTTTTTCCCTTGTTACACAGATTGCTTTGTCTTCCATGCTTCCCTGGACAGGCAGGCAGTGGGATTTACTCCTACTAGGTCACATGAGAAACGAGTTTTGCATCTTGCATCTTCCAGCAGGAGGATCTGTTACATTGCTAAATGCAGAGCAGTCAGCTGAAAAATGAACTGATGGATTTAAAGCCCCTGTAGCAATCATATCCTATTCCACCCAAAATTCTGTTTCATTATGGGGGAACACTCTTAGGAGGTGTTTTCCAGTGAGTATCACAGAATAGCCAGGGTTGGAAGGGACCTCAAGGATCATGAATGTCCAACCCCCCTGCCACATGCAGGGCCACCAACCTCCCCATTTAATACCAGACCAGGCTGCCCAGGGCCCCATCCAACCTGGCCTTGAACACCTCCAGGGGCATCCACAACCTCTCTGGGCAGCCTGCTCCAGCACCTCACCACTCTCATAGAAAAGAATTTCCCCCTGACATCCAACTCAAATCTTCCCTCCCTCAACTTAAAACAATTTCCCCTTGTCCTGCTGTTATCAACCCTTTCAAAGATTTGA